AGGTACGTCTATTAATTTGATCAATAAGTATGCAAATCTAACATATAAACTCTCCGACATCTCGGCTGACTGTTATAATACAGTAATACTGAGTTTCACTCTGTTACATTATGACATATACTGTATCTCCGGTGAAAAATTAGAAATTAAATAATCTTTACTGTAACCATGTAAAAGTTTCAGAAATTTTCCGCAACCCTATATATTATATATGCCAATTTTTTTTTACTAAGAGGTGAAGGGACAGAACAGAAGAGAGAGGAGGGTAATGCAAACCACCAAATCAAATTGGTCTGGGCTAACTAAAATTCGACAAGGAAATAAACAAATGAAAAATATATTTCGAACCGTTATTATCACTAAGTTACAACGAAACAATGCACAATGTTAAATCCGACAGGCTAGGAACATTTCTTGTTGATATAATAAGATCGTTTATTATTTGACACAATAATGGTAAATGAAAAATGCGAATCCTATAACTGCTCCAAATATTTGATTTTATATTAAATAATTGACATTGTCAAAATTGTTGGTCATGTGCTCTTCATATTATCAAATAACCCGCTCTGCTTACTTGCAGCTAACTGTAGGTTCTTGGACAAGTTTATAAATTTATTAATCTTTAGAGTCCTAGCAACTGTACAAAGCAACTGTACTAAAAAGGGGTGCTTGTATCGCTTTATTAATTAGCAACCGATATTAGAGCCCCTTCTTTAATCATGACAGTCCCCGATAAACGAAGGGTTACAACTATTTTTTGTCACACCATTTTATTCCGATGAAGCTCTAACCTATATAAACAACCTTCTTATCGTTCAATGCGCTTACTATTTTGTATTTCATAAATTTCTAATTAAGTGAACAAAAATCTACGCAACAACAACTTATTTGTATATTATATGAGCTTCATACGCCAAGATTACTTACAGTATTTAAGTATTAATATTTTAATGATGTCTTCTCAACAACTACGCAATCACGTAACTGCAGCATGCACTGAATGCCAGAAAAGTCACCAAAAATGTTCTAAAGGAAAAACACCTTGCGACAGATGTAGAAAACGCAATCTTAAATGCATTGTTATTCAAGGCAGAAAAAAACGTGGTCCTAAACCTAAAGATAATATCATTATTCCAAGTCAAGAAGATACGCCTTATTCTCAAACTCCAGCTTTTATTGAGCACACTGTTGAAGGATCTCCTTCGTTCATAGATACTTCGACGTCTCATTATCCAAATCAAGAAGATACGCCTTATTCTCAAACTCCAGCTTTTATTGAGCACATTGTTGAAGGATCTCCTTCGTTCATAGATACTTCGACGTCTCATTATCCAAATCAAGAAGATACGCCTTATCCTCAAACTCCAGCTTTTATTGAGCACACTGTTGAAGGATCTCCTTCGTTCATAGATACTTCGACGTCTCATTATCCAAATCATGATCATCCTAACGACTTTATTCGAGGAACGGAGGATTGCTTTGCTCCAATACAAATACATGAACTGTTCTGGTAATACGAGTTTATTATTCCGAATGGGCTAAGCTAGATTGAGACAAATTAAACGGAATTCACCGACTGTAATTTTGTACATATTTTTGTTATGCATTTTTCTGTTTTATTGAACACAATATGATTTGGAGAATTACGTATTAATTTCCCGATGGCTATTCCATTTAACCGACATCACATTGCGTTAAAATTCAGTGACAAATATGACTGAATAATAAAATTCTAAATTATCACTCTGTGTGATGACCTGTAAGAGTAGAGCGACATCCCCACATTCACAAACTAAAATGCAAGTAGACATGTAAAAGAACATTAGAAATAAGATGAAGAAAGTTGAAACTAAACAACTCAAAATTAACTTAATATCAAAACTTATACGGGTAAAAACCATAAAAATTTTTATAATATAGGATAATTATTTTTGAATATAAACTAAATGAATAATGAAAATGAAGTTTCGAATTTGAACCGTAATTACGAATAGAATGGAAATATTAATCAAATTTATCTATCATATTATTAAGATATACTCTAATCTCTAATTATTTGTTTTTTTTTGTTTATACGTCAATTCTCCATGCTTAGTATAGTAAGCTTAACTGTCGTTATGGGTTATATTACTAATTATGTTGCACCAAAAATGGAAACAAAGAAAACAAATTGATTATCATTATGTCTATCGATTTCTAGTAATTTATTATAATGTATATAGAGCGTTGGTGTCTGCATAACAAGTACGTACATACCTTCGCTATTTCTTTTTATTCATATATATTTGTGTCACAGTGCATTATGATATGGTTCAAATCTACAAACAAATACTCTCACTTGTAAATACACATACAGGCGTATCATTCATGCAATTTCACCAAGATGATCATATTACAGGGACGACTACGATAATTATGGCAATAATTAGAACATATCTTTATTATAATCGGATATAGAGATCGTTTAAGTTACATGTTAATCTTACATTAAACTATCAGCTATGTAAATCTCGATCATGCTATACAAATTAAAATTTAATTATATAATAATAATATAATGAATGTGTATATATCAAAAAAAAAAAACCATAATAAAAGGGTCATATCAAATTAAATTCTATATCATTAAATTTCTATTGTGTTCGAAATGGTTATAAAATATAGTAGCTGTTCAAATTAAATAGAAAGGATGTTTATTGCTTAAAACAATAGAAACATAATTAAATGAAGAGTGGCATCATATCGATAAACATTGATGAATCAAGTATTTTGATCATTGAAATTAGAATTCCCATCTCTGCTGATTTTTGATAATAAGTAAATGCCTTATATTCGTCCCTTTCAACTCCTATTCCATATTTATAGCAGTTTCCAAGACTGTTCATTCCACTAACGTTTCCCATATCTGCAGATTTTTGATAATAAATGAATGCTTTATGTTCGTCCTTTTCAACTCCAATTCCATTTTTATAGCAGTTACCAAGATTATTCATTCCACTAGCGTTTCCCATCTCCGCTGATTTTTGATAATAAGTTAATGCTTTATGTCCATCCTTTTCAACTCCAATCCCATTTTCATAACAACATCCAACATTACATGTTCCACTAGCGTGCCCCATCTCTGCTGATTTTTGATAATAAATGAATGCTTTATGTTCGTCCTTTTCAACTCCAATTCCATTTTGATAATAATGCCCGACCTGAAATGTTCCTATAGCAATTCCCATATCCGCCAATTTTTTATAATATATGAATGCCTTATGTTCATCCTTTTCAACACCAATTCCATTTTGATAACATTTTCCAACATAAAGCGTTCCCATAGCATCTCCCATCTCTGCAGATTTTTGATAATAATTAAATGCCTTATACTCGTCCCTTTCAATTTCAATTCCATTTTGATAATAATATCCAACCTGAAATGTTCCCAGAGCATTCCCTAACTCTGCTGATTTTTGATAATATATGAATGCCTGACGTTCATCCTTTGTAACTCCGATTCCATTTTGATAACAATATCCAACCTGATGTGTTCCTACAGCATGCTCCTTCTCTGCTGATTTTTGATAATAAATGAATGCCTTACACACATCCTTTTCAACTCCAATTCCCTCATAATAACAATATCCAACACCAAACATTCCCCCAACATCTCCTGTCTCTGATGATTTTTGATAATAAGTGAATGCCTTATGTTCATCCTTTTCAACTCCAATTCCATGTTGATAACAGTAACCGATACTAAATAACCCACTGTTATTCCCCAGTTCAACAGATTTTTGGTAATTAATAAATGCCCTATGTTCATCTTTTTCAACTCCAATTCCATTTCTATAACAGTTACCAAGTGCAAATGTTCCGTTGGCGTCTCCCATCTCCGCCGATTTTTGATAATAAATGAGTGCTTTATGTTCATCCTTTTCAACTCCAATTCCATTAAGATAGCATGACCCAACACAATATGTTCCAGTAGCATGCCCCATTTCTGCAGATTTTCGATAATAAATGAATGCCTTTTGTTCATCCTTTTCAACTCCCGTTTCACTTTGATAACAACATCCAACAGCAAATATTCCTATAGCATCCCCCATCTCTTCTAATTTTTTATAATAAATGAATGCCTTATGGCCATCTTTTTCAACACCAATTCCATTTATATAACAATGTGCAACGTTCAAAGTTCCATTAGCGTTTCCCATCTCTGCTGATTTTTGATAATAAGTAAATGCCTTATATTCGTCCCTTTCAACTCCTATTCCATCTTTATAGCAGTTTCCAAGACTGTTCATTCCACTAACGTTTCCCATATCTGCAGATTTTTGATAATAAGTTAATGCTTTATGTCCATCCTTTTCAACTCCAATTCCATCTTTATAGCAATTACCAAGGCTGTTCATTCCACTAGCGTTTCTCATCTCTGCAGATTTTTGATAATAAATAAATGCCTTATGTTCATCCTTTTCAACTCCTATTCCATCTTTATAGCAGTTACCAAGACCGTTTATTCCACTAGCGTCTCCCATTTCCGCTGATTTCTGATAATAAATGAATGCCTTATTTTTGTCCTTTTCAATTCCAATTCCATTAACATAACAGTTACCAAGACTATTCATTCCGTTAGCATTTCCCATATCTGCAGATTTTTGATAATAAGTTAATGCCTTATGTTCATCCTTTTCAACTCCAATTCCATCTTTAAAGCAATCACCAAGATTACACATTCCACTAGCGTCCCCCATCTCTGCAGATTTTTGATAATAAATAAATGCCTTATATTCATCCTTTTCAACCCCATTTCCATTTTTGTAGCAGTCACCAAGATTGCACATTCCACTAGCGTCTCCTATATCGGCTGATTTTTGATAATTAATAAATGCTTTATGTTTGTTATTTTCAATTTCAGTCCCATTTTGATAACCGAATTCCAGGTCATGATAGTCTAAATTAGTAGATTTTTTATGATGAGGCTGATTATTATAAATCTTCTTCATCTTGTTTTTGAATATTAATGCGAAAAAATGGAGATCCGAATAAGAAACATGCGGCTAAAAAAAATAAAATTAAATGAAAAGACCTGTGGATTTTGCGATTTACGGCGTTTCTAAGAAATAAAGTTTTTATTATATGTGCATATTTTTAAAAAATCCACAGGTCCCACGTTTAACCGTGATATTTTCAGAATTTTGTATCACTGTAGAATAGCACAACCTATTGTAACTGATAACCTTATCTTACATTCCTTACTTTCACATGAGTTTGATTACGTATTATGTTGTTACCTTCCATCTTTGTATCTCGGTCAAAGTGGAGTGGATTCTGAATTATTTAATTAACATTAGGATATTTTGGGTTAGAATAAGGTCATCTATATGATTTATGTGTAAAATTCTCTCCCCGATAATTATATTAATGCACCAAGATAGGTTTAAATTTCTGTGTCTTGTATTTTTCGCCCTATTATCCTTTTCTTTCCTTTTTTTTTTTTGTTAGGCTGACGGAATTCCACAATGTGATTGATTGTCTGTCGATCATTAAAATCAAAAATAAGTAATCAAGAGTAGTGCTCCGAATCGGGTCGGGTTCAGGTTATAAAAATCTAACCCGGCATGTACTTTTTTTCATTTATTTTTTGTAGGTTTATTTTTTTTTGAAAAGTACTTTAAACTAGAGATGGGTTTCATGCGTGCGCATGATTGAGGAATCATGCGCATTCATGCGCATTAATGCGCATTCATGCGCATTTTATCCCATCAAAATTTCTCTCCTCTCGATCGTTTTTGCCTTTTTTTATCATGCGATATCATGCGCATGAAACAATTCGTGCG